GTTGTCTGACGAATTTTATCGCCACTCACACACAGACAATCTCACACATGCCCATACATGCATAAGAGAAGGGGAGAGAGGAGACAGAGTCCAAAGTGCACACAGGTGAAAATAAGCAGCGGAAGACAATCATGCACAGATGGGGAGAGAACACACAGTGTTTCTCACTCTCTGACACAACTCCCAACAACCAATCACAAGATAGAACCTGCGAAGATCACAATTGGAATCCATACTGATGATGAGCCACTCAAACAATTATCGTAACAGAGTTTGTTTCAGTATCTCGCCACTCTTAGAACTCACACCCCACTCTCTATCCTACACCCAGTTAGTAGCGCCACATCAGATTGGCCTCCCAGAAGCCAGCGCCAACCACCCTGATGAAGAACAGGTCCTGCGATGAAGTCTTTAGTGCCGATGGACACAGTGTAGAGCCACCGCCCACCCGAAGAACAGGTCCTGCGACGAAGGAACAGGCAGCTATGGCTGCCACCGCCCATGAGTACATAGTGTAGAGCCTCGATATAGCCCGGCGAGACGCAGATACCCCAGGGGTAGATGCGCTGAGGATGCCCCAGCTATGGCAGACTCAAACTGGGCCGGCTATGGCTGCTGTCAACGGCGAGGTCTCAGGATGCCGCCTGCAGACAGTCACCGTCACCAACTTGCTTGGCTTTTCCAACGCTGCTTCGTGAGAAATGAACTGCCAAAAGTCCTAAACCTACTCGGCCTGTCTTATTTCTAGATTCTACCCTAGACCTACTGGACCGAAACTGCTCTACCGGCACCGTTTCGACTTAGGGCCTCTAGGCCCTTCCCAGCTACGGGCTCTACCCACTGTAGGCCCTTAGGGCCTTTATGACGACGGGGAAGACTGGGCCTGCAATCGCAGGGCTGGAACCGGTCTATTTTTAGAACAGCATATAGGCCTCAGTGTGACCCAAAACTCGGCACGCACACACAACAAAGCACACTCCAAAACACAACAGGCACACGCAACAGGGTACAACCTCACCGTTAGTCACGGCAGCAGAAATCAGCACGTCATCGCACCTCAATGCGTTAAAAAAACAAACACAGCAACAACACAGACAACAAAACACAGAAAACACAAAATCACGAATCTAACCTACGACGCGACCAGACCGAGGCAAGCCCCAGGCTTTGCCCTCAGCCTAATGTACAGTCCACTGAGAATCTGCAGGTTTCATTACATACTTACCCCCCCCGGGGAGAGCGGACCTCCGCGCCCACACTTCACTTTTTGGTAATGAACCAGCAGATGAAGGGAGTTATGGAGATAACACTCTTGCCTGAAGAGGAAAACTTGAGATACTCACGGGGTAACCTATGCCCCTGACCTGTGTTGTAGCAGTAAGGTCAGGAGGAGGCAACCTCAAAGTGTCAGTTGGTCTCGATTGCATCAAGAACCACTGATAACCTGGTTTTTTACTATTACGCAATCGATCACTTATGAAAAGTTGAGATCCGTGAACGACACCCTATTGCTGCAATACAGTTCCTATACTCCTGACCTCCATAGTAAACTGGGATGTCAGTAGAAGGGAAACTCAGAATTGCTGGCTATAGTCGTCGGACCGGGTGTGTACCCCTTATTAGTAGACATAAACCGGATGTCAGTCGGTCAGTAGAACTGAAGGACTGCAGTAAGAGATCACGAGTAGGACAAGTAATCTCACCACAAGAAACATAACTAATTATCATCCAGGCTGTCAAGAATAGATTTGTTGGTGCTCAACTTATCAAACAGATAAGGAGCCCGGGATAGAAGGTTGAAAGCCTGGGACAATGGCACTCACTACACAACGTCGGGAAGAGGGAAGGTTGCTGACTCTCAGCTAACCCTGATCAGGACATTGAGTGTCGCCAGAATTTGCGCCTATAAATACTGACAACTACAACTCCCACAAGAACGAGAGACAGTGAAGATCCAGAATGTGAATCAACAGAGGTGAAAGGAGTTGTGGTTTCCACCTCTCTCATGGATCGAGGGTAGGGTAGGATGAGTTCAGATTTGGTTTCCCTTTTGTCCCTTCAGATGAAGGAAAAGGGAGCAATCATCTGAGCCWCATGCCCCTCTRATCCCTGATCCGGGYCAGGATCYTTATAACGAAGGATGCTGCCCGCGCAGTCCCCAGACATACATCATCACASGCAGCCTCAACTGAAACAGCTGCAGATTCACCTACCTGAGCAGATGAAGGTGCAGCACTGGGGGGAACTGCAGTCCCCAGGGTCTGTTTCAATTTTTTTTTCGACCGACTACCTGGGCCTGGCATGTAAGGGCAGTCCTTCGAGAAGTGCTGGCCCTCACACCTCAGGCAAACCCCTCTCTCCTTTTTTCTTCTCCAGACTCCCTCTTGGATCTTAAGGTCATGCCAGGGGAGTGTGGAGGGGTTGAGAGGTTCAGCTGGCATGTGGACATCTCGAGGCAGGTTAGGGCGCTGGGAAGAGGAAGGCTGACGTCCCTTTTCCTTCCACTTGGTAGTGGCTGAGGCTGTGTTGGTGGAGAACTTTTTCTGCGACTGCAGAGCTCCCAAAACAGCCTGAGTCACTATTGCTGCAACATCTGTCTCAGCAGCAGATCCGGTCCCCCCTGAAGGCACATCAGGCTGGGAATCGGTATCTGATGTTGAGGCAGACCCCGCATGCGTAAAGGCTGCGTTTCCCCTTCTGTTGCCTCTAGGGAAGGCACCTTTCCTCCTGTCAGAGGATGGGGCCTGGACATGGAGCTTGGCCTCCATTTCCAGGGCTGCACGGCCAAAGGACCTCCAGTCCTTGTGCCCAGCGCTATAGAGTGCAACAGCAAACTTCTCAGGCACTGCCCTGCAGAAGTTGGTCAACAAATCAACAGGTGTCATGAGCAGCCCAGGGGTGGAGGTAAGCTGCTCGAATTCACCAAACAAGGTCTGTAGGGTGCCGCTGTACCATTGCTGTCCCCGGCGAGCAATCCTGTCAGCAGCCTTGCGGGCCCTCTCCTTGTCTGCAAACCAGTCCTCCAGGGCCTGCAGAAGTCTGTCTACCCCCAACCCAAAGGCTCAGTCCTCCATGGACTGTTGCAGGCTGCTAGAAGTTGAGGTGGCCCACTTCAATGCGGGCCCTTCTAGCAGTCCCAGAACAGTTGCCACCTTGGTCTGTTCTGCACAGACAAAGCCCCTCAAGTAGGCTCTGGTCCCAGCAGCCCAGTCCCCAACATCAGTCTTGGGGTCATCGCCCCTGAACTTGTTGGGAGCAGGGATCTTGGGACCTCTGTCTGCTGCAGTCACAGCAGCATAGGTGACCTTTGCAGATGCCTTTTGGGAAGGGGTAGATGACTGGGAAGAATGTATAGATCCAGCATGGGATGGATGAGGGGAAAGAGGTCGTGAGGGAGGAGGAGAGGATCTCGGCTGCAGCAGAGGGAGCTGGGGAGTGATCAGCTTGGCGGCTGCCAGCTGAGCAGACAAGCCCTGGATGGAGTCTAGGATCTTGGACTGCTGAGCTGACAGCTCGTCAACCCGACGCTCCAACCGCAAAAAACGGTCATCCTAGTTTGTGAACTGGGAGCTGGTGATTTTGTGCTCCAGCAGGATCATCTCAGCCATGTGCTTGGTGATCTGGGCACAACGGTCATCAGTGAGTGACCTCTCTAGCTGCTGCAACAGATACTCCCTTCTGGAGTGATCCATTGCAGCCTCTAGCTCAGCAGCCTCCTGCCATGCCAATTCAGCTACGCTGGCCTGTTGCAGCTTTAGCTGCTCTTCTGCCTCCTTCTTCAGCCTTCGAGTAGCAGTCAGAGGTGGAGGGGGGGTAATGGAGGTAGAAGGTTGTTCACCTTCTGCCTTCACCACCACCTCTACATGTGGTTGCTGTTCATTTCCCTGATCCGACATTTTTCCAGTTCAAATAAAATCCAAAAGTTAAATAACAGCAGACAGAGTTGCAGCGATACTCAAAATTTTGCAGACACACTGGAATCGTTGCAGCAACTCAACACTGGAATAGGTGGGTGTACAGGCAATCAGCGGTCTGGGTTAGAAGGGTGTCTCTGGGGTCAGGTGTCAGACAGAGTGTAAATCCAACAAAATCAACCACACGATTTCCTTTTACTGACCTTGGACCACACTGGAGTTGATGATGTTACTCCACTACTCTTCCAGAGACCCATTAGAGTTTCCAGTGCCCACTAGAAAACAAGTGTAATCAGTGAGAATGATGGAAGATGGTTAGTGCAGACAAAAGAGATCAATCACAACATGCGATGCATATGGCGAATTTCAGTTTTCACTGTATCCAGTGAAATACTCGAAATCCAAATTTGCGATTTGACAATACTGACTGTTTTCA